TTTATCTAGGCTTGGGCCCAGGCACTAACTGAAACAACAATTACCAAACTGTAATTAGTCTAAAAATCTAAAAGTAAATGGTCTGTATTTGTATAGCGCTTTACTTAGTCCCTATGGACCCCAAAGCGCTTTACACTACATTCAGTCATCCACCCATTCACACACTGGTGATGGCAAGCTACATTGTAGCCACAGCTGCCCTGGGGCTCACTGACAGAGGTGAGGCTACCGGACACTGGCGCCATCGGGCCCTCTGACCACCACCAATAGGCAACGGGTGAAGTGTCTTGCCCATGGAAGGACACAACGACCGAGACTGTTGGAGCCGGGGCTCAAACTGGCAACCTTCCGATTACAAGGCAAACTGCCAACTCTTGAGCCACGACTGCCCAGAAAAGTACACAAAATGTAGCACAGTTAAAATTCAAAGATGTTAAAAAGACAGCGTTCCTGCAATGGAATATACACTGCACTGCAACTCTGTGCAGAAACATGATTCAAAAATCCCCAGAATAGTGCACCTGGTGAAGCATCTTGGTGCTATGCTCCTCTGCATCTGATCCTGCTTCCTCCAGGTCCTCAACATCCATCAAAAAGTCTTTGTATGACCTTTTGTTTTCTCTGTGGGTGCATCCACTCACTATTTCTGCTTCACCATCCATCTAGACCAACAGAAGAGAGATCAATGATTCAGACAGCAGGAACTCTAAGTACAGTGAAGTTGCATGATAACACAGTAATGTGAGATAAAGTTGAGCATGTACAGTCTGCTTATTTAATGACCACTTCGTATACTTTCTGTTTACTGCGAGGATTTTAGATGGAATATGCTCTGAAGTTTAGTCTGACCAAACATGAAGGCTGGATAAAGCTAATAAAAGGTTGCAGCAGCTAATAAAAGGTTACAGCCGTCTCTCTAAGGTTTATGGGCCTAAATTGCTGAAGATAAAACATTCTCACCTGGGCGAGTAAATGAATAGCTCACCTTCAGCAGACTGCTGACTGTGCAAGGCAAATAAATTATCTAAGGCTAGTGCTAGCTAGACGCTAGTTATGTGTGCTAGCTAGTGAGGAAAACAAGTTGTTTTGAAGTCCTCTAGTTCAACATTAATTTAATGTTTGTGATAATAGCAGTTAAGCAGTGGGCTTTCTACTATGCCCAAAAGAGGGGTTGTCGAAGCTTGTGGGGTTTTTTTTTAATCTAAAATAAATACAAACTGATAAGACCGAGCAGAAAACAATCTCAAACACGTCTCATATCGATGTCTGTCTTCCTTTCGTTTTGTTTCCACGTTTGACTAAAAACTATCCTTAATTCCGGAAAATGCCGGATTTTGGTCCGGTAACATGAAGCACACAACCTCTAACAAGCTCCTAAATCTCGGGCCAGCTCTGTCACAGACATTCCTGTGGTAAACTCACTGTGCTGCTCAGCTGTATACGTGTGAAGCAAAGCCTGCTGACTCACGTTTAGCGCCCTCCCTCTCTGTCGGTCACTACGCTGTGCTGAGTCACGTTAAGCCCGAGTGAAGCTTTGTGATTTTATACCTGCAGATGGCTGAGCAGATGCACGGCAGTCTGCAGTTTAGTGGCACATTTTTCAAATCATATATAACATAGAGTTGTGCTTTTTTTTTTACGTTATTTTTTTGTCCATGTAGGTTATAATTACGCATTGAAACGTTTGGCCTTTTGACAAAAAACCGATGTAGCGGTATTTTTTCATCGCTTTGTCTCAACTGATTTCAAGTAATCACGTATTTTAAATGCCATTTTTATTTAGGCCTTTACATAAAACGTCTAAGCACAGTTTATAGTCAAAGCTATGTAGACACCCATATGACAAACATACCTTATTTTCACTTAAAGCGAATATATGATAATAATCGTTCTTTATAAAAGACCAAAGGTTTAAGCATACTGCCAACCACGTACAGGCTGGGAGTTGTTTCGCTGGAAGAGCTGCTCAGAGTGAAGCGGTTTTCTGTTTCCTTTGCCTCAAGATGGCTCTATAAATAACTCAAATTAAACTAGGTTGGACAGTAGTGTGGTTCCAGTTTTGTTCCTGTAGTTCAAGACCTCTGACCTTTACTCCTTCAAGCAGCTTCTGAGGAAAATTACAATTGGGAACACTTTGCTGACTTCTTTTAATGTTGCAGATTGCAAAACCCCATGAAAAGATTTCTGAGTAACAGTTCTAGGAGGGGTCCAATAGGATGAAGATAAAAGCAGTGATGCTCTTTTAGTTGATGACAGAAGATTTTTGCAGATTATAATCTCTTTTAGATACTTGCACTATTAGGTAATCAAGGATGAAGACTTCCCAGAAGGGTAGAGGCTGTTTACAAGAGCATATTAGTACCCTCTGAATCAGTATGAATTGATCACATCTGTATATAATGCTCAGAGTCACAGTCACTCATGAATGACATATTGTGGAAGAAATAATTTTAAAAGCTTTGTTTTATTTCAGGCTAGTCACAAATAAGTTTTGGGCTTAACTTTTGTGTGTAAAGATAATTATCAGTAGCTTTTTACTATTGTTTACATCGACTAAATGAACAGTATCTACTCTTGTTTGTCAAAAATACTCCTCCACTTTGTCACTGAATGTTGATAGACTTGTGTAATATGACAAACCTGCTCTTGTTTCTGATCAAATGCACAGCATTAGTCACTGTTTAAACACTTCCTCTCTCACAGCTTCGCAAACTCACACTGTCATGCTTAGCCTCAGCTCCTCCTCCCCTGTGTGGCTCTACTTTGGAATCTGAAGTTGCAGCATCATGTTTAGCGCTCAGCCCTCCCCCCTGGTTTTCCAGGGAACTCCCTCCTCACACTCTGGTAGTCCTTCCCTCAGCAGTTTTCCTCAAAGTTGCCGTATCATGTTAACTCCTGGTCCCCTCCTACTATTGTTGCTGATGTTGCCGTGTCATGTTTAGCCCAGTTTTTTTTTGTTGAGGCTGAGTTCCTGTTTGTGTTGAGCTGGTGGTGGGAGGAGGAGACTGAAGCAGATCGTATAAAGAGAAGCGTGAAAGCCAGCAGAGCACACAACTGCACTGGACATCCAGAGAGAAACTAAGGGCACAGATCAGACTTCATTCTTACTGGTGAGTCAAACGAAATATCATACTTTAAATTTGACAACCTTTTGTCGATTTATATCCCTTAATCCACAGTGTTCTCACCATATCAGAAAAGGATTTATGCTCTGTTAAAGTACCTTTCTGACATCTTTACTGTCCTTTACTGTATTTTCAGGGGCACAATGGAAACTGAGAAGAAGACGCATACAGCAGCAGAGCAAATGACTGACAGGTTAGACTGAGCTGCTGTGATTTTATTAAGAATCTAAATCTTCTTTTCCGCTCCATGCACATTTTTCTTTTAATGTCTGGGGATAGATTTAGTTTTCAATCAGCTCTGTGACATCCAACACATATCTCACGTAGCAGAATATGTTTGGGAAGCTTATGAGCTACATAAACATTTCTAATCACAATATGTTTTCATAATGGAAGTTTACTTTGGATGCACATATTTGCCCTACATGTTTTCTAATGATTACTGCTCTTAGCCTTGTGTCACTGCCTTTATCTTAGCTGCAATACATTAAATGTTGTCTTTCTCTTCTAATTGTGATCAATTTCTTTTCTCAGGGACTTGTCTGAACAAATAAAAAAAGTGACTAAGGAGAGTCACGTTAGAGCAGAAAACACAGAACTGATGCTGAGCTTCCAGAGGGGAAAGGTCACGCTTCCACAATATAAGGTAATATTAAAAAAAGGACAGCACAATTGTTTAAATAATCTTACTTTTGTGGGGGTCGATACCAAGATTTAATGGCTTTGTGTCTCTTCTTCTTCAGCTCCTCCTGTGTTCACTGTATGAGATCTACCAGGCTTTGGAGGAAGAGCTGGACAGGAACTCGGACCACCCGAGCGTCGCACCTATTTACTTTCCTGCTGAACTGGCCAGGCTGAAGTCCATTGAAAAAGATCTGGAATACTTCTATGGTCAGGACTGGAGAGAGAAGATTGTCATTCCTGCAGCCACTAAAAGATACAGCCACAGGCTCAGACAGGTATGTTTTATTTAAACCTTCCATGAATCACATGCATGTTTCTATCTCTGCTAGGTGATGGTCAATTAACACTCTTGATAACTCCATTACCATTTTTTAGATTGGCAAAGAAAACCCTGAATTCCTGCTTGCCCATGCTTACACCCGGTATCTGGGTGACCTGTCTGGGGGACAGGTTCTTGGTCGGATCGCTCAGAAGTCCATGGATCTGAAAAATGGTGATGGTCTGTCCTTCTTTGCCTTCCCTGGGGTGTCCAGCCCCAACCTGTTCAAACAGCTCTATCGCAGCCGAATGAACAGTGTGGAGCTGACAGAGGAGGAGAGGAACGGTGTGCTGGAGGAGGCTGTCAGGGCCTTTGAGTTCAACATTCAGGTAAGGAGGTGTGATAATCTAGGAAGGACAGATCGTAAAGCAAAAGTGCCACTCAGAGGGCAGCTGAACCTTAGATTAGCTCCATCTTACACTTACTAATATTTAGCTACAGCAGCTGATAGATGCTCTGTTGTATGTGTTACAGGTCTTTGAAGATTTACAGAAGATGCTGACTGTCTCTGACAAAAACCTGCAGAGCTCCATGACACAGTCCAAGCCAGTAAAGGCGAGCACACTCCACATGTCAGGAAACATTTACACTTCCTCGCTGCTCAGGATGGTCCTGGGACTGTTTGTGGCTCTGGCTACTGTCAGTGTGGGAATGTACGCTTTATGAAAAGAAACTCTGAAATACTGTGAAATGAAGTGTTGCTGTTGAAGTTTGAAATCTTTGCTTTGGTACTGTAAACCTAAAAGCAGAAAAATCCCCACCTGATTATAACTGTAAGATTTTAAAAACATGTACAGATCACAAAATACTGTGTAATATTTATGTAATTTATCCATAGGAACCATTCACACTCACACATACGTACAATAAGTGTAATAGTTTCTGAATCTGTTGCACTGATATCCCTTGTGGTTGAAAATGTGCAATGTGTGTGCTTTAAATACTGTAAATATATATGAACCTTTTAATAAAATATTCTGCTGAAAGAAAATATCTCTATCGTACTGTATCGTGAAATTTTTCTGCTTTAGTACAGTGATCATGAAGTTCATTCTAGTAATGAGCATTACTCTGCTGATGTTGAGGGTCCAGCTGGTGGACGTGTCCACTAATGTTCTGGCACCCGACTACATGCCTGCTGTTCATTTGGCTCTTAGTCATACAAGAGTCTGGATGCGGGGAGCAAGTCCTTTTTATATGATTTAAACACTAAATAAACTCACTTGCTGGCAAGCCACCCACAGCACGCTTAAGTGTTTTTGCCTCCATCAGACTAACATCTGCTTAACAAATGTTACAAGCTAAAAAAAAAAACCTTATTTCAGTTTTACTCAGCCCAAAGTGATATGTTTAAACTGTTTGTTTAAAACATAAATCATTTCGCCTGATAACGATTATCGTCTTTTTAAAAGTGATCCTGAGTCATACATTTCTAGACTTTCTAAAGGTGTTTCAGCATTTTTCTTTGGACATTGGCTGCATGGATCATTCAAGCATAAACAGGTGACTAACTAACAAACCAGTTTAAATGTAAAGACAACTTAACAAAGAAACCAATTTGTTCCCATTTCCTTAAAAAAAGCTTGATGTATCTCAGCATGGTGTGAAATGTGTCTATAAACAATATGAGGAAACAAGAAGACAAAAGAAGAAATAGCGTGATTAAAAAAAACTATCTACAGCAAATGAACAAATAAATGCCACGTCCTTAAAAAAACAGGAAGAAACTCAAGCAGACCTCACATAGGGCATAAGAGATATATCTGGAATTTCAGTTGATCCATCTGCTGCTCACTATAGCCTCATTAGAAATGGTCTCAGTGAAAGGGTGGTTGTAAAGAAGCCATTCCTAAGGAAGCAAAACAAAGTGAAAAGACCGAGGTATGTCAAAGTACACAAAAACTGAAATGACAATCAGTAGCAATCAGGTTTTAAGAAGTGATGAGTGATCAGTGGCGCTCTTTCGTGGTTTGGGGCTACATTTCAACCAGAGGCTTTGAGGATCTTGTGAAAACTGATGAATTTATGAACACAGCAAAGTGCTGTAATACTGTCTGAAAAGCATCTAATTGCCAACGGCTTCATTTTTCAGCACTATAATCAGCAAAACAATGCAAACGCACTATGTAGAAAAATACGCAGTGGAACTGTCACTTTTGGATTAGCCTCCCCACAGACCAGACCTCAACATTGTTAAAGTACTGTGGGATCCCTTTGAACAGGCAGCTAAGATACAAAAAAAAGAAGAGCTTTGAATATCCTTCAAGAAGCCTAGAGAACTATTCCTGA